ACACACACACACACACACACACACACACACACACACACACACACATACATTCACATTCCAGTAGAAAGAAACTCAAATTCACCTTCTTTCACCACAGAACTCAAACTTAATCCTGACATCCTCCTGATGAAAAAGAAACAGCGGTTAGGCCTCGACAGGGTCATACAGGAGTCACAAGGTATGTTCTCCTGTAAGTAAATGTATTACCATTCGTTTGGAAGAGCTGGCAGTGCTGACAGGTTTAGGTTTTGCCGTGTCATAAGTTGATGCCGGCTGGCGCCTGGTCATCTGCAGGGCCACCAGATCCTTCATAATTGAATGGAGAGCCTGTCTCTCATCTGGGGAGAAAGACTGAGATGTTACGGCTGCTGACCAAAAAATGCCCAATATTAATATTCTAAACTCTTTTCATGTCTAATTTAAGCAACATAATATTATATTGTACAGTACGAAAAGTAGATATTTATTTTGAGATCTACATTTTACAGTTTTATCAAATTATTAATTTATTAGATTAACTTTAAGTCAGTGTTAGATGATGGCAAATTTTATCTAACTGTAAAAACAGGGGAAATTATCATGAACAATTAAATATCCAATATTAGTCAATACAGATAAAAAAAAATCCCTAATATTAGACGTTAACTGATATGATATGGATATATTGTGCATCCTTGCATATAATCAGTATTTATTATTTTGTCAATACACATTTTCCACTATTTGTTTCACACTTTTTCGAGGAGACTACCATTGCATTACTTACATTTATTTTTGCTGTATAATCTATTTCAAATAAAAATGTAAAAAACTAAATCTATAGTTGGTCATTTATATGTCGGTCAAACAGTCTCTTCCTGTATAAGTTATAGCTGGCAGATATTGGCCAGAAAAGGCTAATGAACTACTCTGTATGGCTTTAAAGAATTATTTTGATTATAAATATTACATTTTAATCATTTCTATTTATTAATTCAGTAGATACTTTTATTCTAAACAACTTAGTTAATTCAATGTATTAATTTTAACATTATTTGTGCACCCTCTCTGCTGCCAAACCTTAATTGTGGTTAATCATTGTAATGAATGTCCTTGAGTGGCTTATTACTTTATTTTAAACTAAACAGAGATTATGTTGCGGAAACTATAAACTTGCTGTACAGTTACAGCACAGATGCAGAGGAACTGAGAGGATGTTCTGCTCTCTTTCATGAATAAACACACTCACAGTCAGACGACTAGACCTGCGTCAACGCAGTGAAAGTTGTGAGAGGGAGATGACCGTGTTTTCGCAAACTCTGCTCTCATGTTTGATGTAAGGATGAGATGTGTCTTGGCTAAGCTCACTCACGGAGGGAAAATATTCACAGTGTGTTGTTTGGACGGACTTCACACATCTCCAGAGAGGGAGAGAAACAGAGAAGCCTCGTCTACCCACCAATACTGGGAACATAGCAGAACAACCCAAGCAACAGACTCAACCACTCAACTGTTGGAATCTGTGCGTTCATGTGACCAGTGAGAACATAAACCACTGTCTGTCTCCATGTTTCACTTTTTCTCTCTTAAAAAAAGAATCTCAAAACATCCTTTTAATTCCAGGCCTCAAAGTTGCTTCCAGCTCAACAGCAGCTTGTCTGCCATTTCTTAGACACACTTTTTCATCTTTAATTTTAAAAATTAAAATAGAAAACCGTTTTTGAATGCTAGTGTACATTTTAATGACTGAGAGACAATTAAACATCTAGCTAAGCTTTGGTAGAAATTAACCCAATATTGTATAATTTAATTTTTTCATAAAAATGTTTGAGATCAAACTACAATTGAAGACATGTCGAAGACACTTGACATATGGAGGGGAACATGAGGACTTACTCATTTTGGCAGTATGAATGTGTGTGCTCTTGATCAGAGTTCAGTGTTGAAGGTCCTCACACACACCGTCCTCTAGTGTCACCCATCAATGGCCTAGAAATCAGAGTGGACACATCATAATGACTGACTGTCATCAGCTGTATCTTACCTCCCTGCCTAAACAAATGTAATCTGAGCCAACAAACAATGATTTCATAGCCAACACCACAGCCAACAACAACAACACAGACAATTATGTATTATATCGTCATCTTTCTGGGGGCTTTTCATTTACAAGTGTATTTTAATAGCAAACCGTTTACCGCCTCAGTGTTCATTTGACACATTAAAATTTACTGATGCTAGATGCTCAAAAACTCCACCTAAAACATAGGCTATAACCTAAATATGGAATGTTTTGCATGTGTAAGAGGAATGTGTGCTGTGCGCGCATTTGAGTGCATGTGAGACCTGAAGGACTGTAACCTGATCCCTGCTGGCACTGATGAACCTGGCACAAACCTTCAAGCCGAGGGAATTATTTACCATTTAAAACTTGCCAGATTTTCAGCTCCAAGCTTGATTCCAGCCATGAAGGCCCCTCTCAACAATGCCATACTCCCTAATAAACACTATCACTGTAATATTTCATACTTCATTTGCCCATGAATACACGTGGCTCACATTATAAAAAGAATGTGAATGTGAAAATGGCTGGACTTTACATTGAATGTTCTGCTTTTTAACTGAGGTTTTGTCCTATTATTCAAGGCTCAAAAACATGACAGATCATATGGTCCATAATGATATCATTGACCATTAGAGCTCTAAAATGTGCAATTTTACATAAATAAGATAAAAAAATCGTACTTAGTAACCTTCTGGTGTCCTTCAAAGACGTTATCTGTTCTTCCTGGAAAAGGAAAAAAAACCTAATTCACCACAAAGGTGTCAAATGATAGTTTCACATAATATGTAACCCACTTCTTTGAAGAAAACTATTTAGCGACAGCTAACCTCTGCATGGAATGCATGGAATCTATAGTGGCATTCATTTACCAAGCATTGTGATTTTCAGCTATGATTGTCTTGATAAACATGTTTGAGTATATTTCAGTGTTCAGCTCTAGTAAATTTGACGAACTATAGCATATTCTAATGCATTTGATGAACAATATCAATTTTAATTCAAAACTGGGTACAAAATACAGATCTTAATTTGAATGAACCTGATATTAATTCATAAAATCCAAAGCTGAATCTTTCGATCTATGTCTATATTAAGGGGCTGCATAAAAATGTATTTGTACAGCACTGGTGTCATTGCATCCTGCTGAACAGTTAGTGCCACCAGTCCGACAAATAAACAACATTTTATCCAAGCTGTGAATGTGAGTTTGCGATCTATATTGATAGTGATCATGCAATAAAAAGGCCATGTAATCACAAAACAATGTCAAGTAATGACTTTCATTGAGTTCTCCTTGCAGGCTGGATGCAAAAACAAATATATAACACGACCAGTGTAGTCAGAATCACAAATGAATTACTCTAATGAACAGTTCTTATTAGTGAATCAAAAACAAAGTGCGACCAGTGTAGTCTAATTTCCCCCATAAAATCCTTGTTATGAGTCAATTATTTTCATGAATATTTCAAAAAGACCAACTGAACACGTTGAAAACATCTCCCTACATAATTTACAGCATAAGCTGAGAGAGAATGTCTTTCACATTTAAGTAAAATGGACATTATAAATAAAATATACTCAAATTAATCAGAATCAAAGATTGCATCGACATCAAATCAGGAAATATGAATCAATAATAAGCCTTAGTTAATTCAGTTACTTTTACTGAAACACAACACGAAAGACATGTAAAAATGTGATATAAAATCAAAAATTTTAAGGACTTAACATCCTTTCTAAATCAGTTTAACATCCTAAACAACTAAGACCATGTGAGCTGCTGAGGGGCAAACCGACCAATGGTCGCTCTAGAAATTCAGCAAAGTCTCATTAGATTGCTTCCATCAGCATATCCTGACATTTAAAAGCAGAGCTCCGAATCGATCTGCATCATTCCTAATGACATTACCTGCCTGTGCTTCACTGCCGGGCTTCATTAGACCTTTTGATCCAATTACATCAGACCGGAGGAGAAAGGACTAACTGGACATTGCTGAGAATTGCTCATCCTTCCAAACTTACGGTCAGTGCTGAAATGATTAACCAAACGGATGAGGTAAGGAGCATGTGTGCGCATGTGTGCGTTTGTTTCAGCGCCTCCAGCCATGCAGCTTCAACTGAACCGTGGGAAATTACAAAGGTCAGACATCATTCATTTGCACTCATTTAGCCAAATATCCTGTGGCACCCAGGTGGCCTGACCGACTGCACCTATGAACACACTCAATGAGCTGCGAGCGAGTACGGCCCCATCTGACATCTCGCTATACATAAATCCAAGTTAAACAGACCCTCACCAGAATGCTCCACAGAGGGTTTGGTGAGAGAGGGCACACTTTTCCTTCATGCAAGGTCTGAATGGATTTATGCTGGGGTGATGCCACACCACTGGATCTTACAGTTTGTAAAACACCATCTCAATTACCTACCTGACTTTAGATCCTTCTTCTGTCTGTTGTTGCTTTCCTATCAAACCACTTTAATTTCTTTTTAAATTAGAGCATAACCTCTGAAGTCTAAACTCCAAGATGCAATAATTTTAACCCTAACTTGCTTTTAATTTATTATAATCTCATTATGTTATTATAACAAATGTATTACTTTTAATATACAAGTTTTTCTAATACATTGAACTGTTTTTTTTATCTATGGTATATTTTCAAAATTACAACACACTGTAATGAGGAAATGTTGCAAAGGCTGAATATGCAGAAAAGGCACTAACTGGGTTTCCATGTACTTTAAAGCAAATTTTGGGATAGCAAATATAAAATGCAGGGCAGGAACACCAAGATGCAAAATACATTTCCACAATGCTCACAAAAAAATCATAAACTCACTTATTCCATAAGATGTGCATAAACTATGATGGAAAGATACCGATTTTTGCCGATTCCGATTTTCTTTCTAAGAACTATAATTGACAGTATATACAAACAAAAATCTACTTTTCTTCAACACAAAGTTTTATTTTCATAAAAAAACACAAGTAAAAAGTCAGTAATAAAATAAGAACAAATAAAAAAATGGCAAACAGCACAAATAAATGCAATAGAATAAAGAGAGCTATGAAACTAAGTTTTTCAGGTTAAGTAAGTTGAGTTTAATGTTCCAAAACTGACTGTGTTTAACTGGATACTCGCCAAGACGGGCATTTTGACAATTTTGTATGTATTTTGTATGTACGTTTTAGTGCAGTTAGCCACTCATTTTGGTATTTGTGGCTCACAAGCTGTTTGAGACTGAGTGCTGCTTGTGCGCTCCACTAATATAGATCAGTGGTGGTGAGCACGCGTTTGGTATAAGCGCGAAACCTGCGGGAATGACTAAAATAATGCGCAATACAAGCAATATTAAACCGGAGTGAATGAGACGTGTGTGAGAGAGAAGAGGTCGTCGGAGAGAAGAGAGCGAGAATGCGTGGCTGACGTTATTGCCTGTGCCACTGGTAACAAAACGGATCGGCTCGAAATCGGAAAGAAGTGAGACTGACCGACTGATCATCGATCCGGGCCGATCATGAGGAAAATCGGCCGATACTGATCCCTGGTCGATCGATCGGTGCATCTCTAATAGCTGGTGAAAAACTGTATGAGAAGTATGGGAATAAGTATGGCCGAATTCACAGTACTCATAAAAGAGTAGGCAAAAAGTACGTGGATGACCTACAACTTCCAGAGAGATTCTGAAGTGTCCATATGATGGACCCTTTACTATTCCATAGGGCCACAGGAGAGGATTTGTGAATGACATTAAAGTGATACAACTAACGCATACTTTTTTAGTGGTCACAAAGTATTTACTCATTCAAAATAAGTACCAAATCAAAAGAGCATGTGATTTCAGATGCAGCTATCAGGTGGAAACGCTGCCGTGTTTGCTAATCGTTTTTTCTGTATTGTGCTTTTTCGCAACTTGGATGCATACACAGCAACTGACAGAGCACCCCAATATTGCCGGTACTGTATGCCGGCACTTATTAGTTTGATGCAGTGTTTGAATTAGTATTATAAAAGTTGGATATAACAATTGGGGTATTGGTGCAGGGTGTCAAAAAATATGAAACCTTAAAACGGGTCATGGAGCAAAAAATTATTTAGAACTCTTGCACAAAGGTTAGTAAAACTCTCCTTTTCATCCAGGCTTTATTGAGTCTCTGGCCCCTTCTTAGTCTCATTTTCTGTTTCTCCTGTTCTTAATTACCTTGTGGTAAGTATGTGTGGAATCTGGAGAGGGGAGAAGGCAGTCCATGGGCCCTGTCAGCCTGACCCGCTTTGTTTCGCTTGTATCCCTTTTCAGTACTTGCCAGAATCGCAACAAATTTCCCTGACCGTTCCTGCCCCCAACCACCGTATGTACGTTTTAGTGCAGTTAGCCACTCATTTTGGTATTTGTGGCTCACAAGCTGTTTGAGACTGAGTGCTGCTTGTGCGCTCCACTAATATAGATCAGTGGTGGTGAGCACGCGTTTGGTATAAGCGCGAAACCTGCGGGAATGACTAAAATAATGCGCAATACAAGCAATATTAAACCGGAGTGAATGAGACGTGTGTGAGAGAGAAGAGGTCGTCGGAGAGAAGAGAGCGAGAATGCGTGGCTGACGTTATTGCCTGTGCCGCTGGTAACAA